TGCAGGGAACATACAGGATTATGAAAGTCCTAGTATCTGCTTCCAGAGATTTTGTTTCATCAATGAGTGTTTCATTTAAAAATGCTTAAGAATTTCTTTGAGGAGAAACTGGAGTATAGGTTTCCCCTCTCCCAAGAAATTGTGTATTTCCTAGACTTGACTCCTGTGGCTAGAGAAAGAGAGACATATCACAGCTCTTTAATACTTTCTTAGTACAGTAAAACAGCTTCAAGGGGGCGAGTAGCAAGCTTATAGGCTGAAGGAGGGAAATGAGAGATGAAGGTTTGAACCCTTGGAGGCAGAAGGTGGAATACTGGCTTAATGCAAAAGTAAGTGAAATTCCACGTTACATGGAATGTCAGATTAAAGGAGATCAATGGCTCCATGGCTTAAAAGAAAATGAACATAATTAAAGGGCTTGATCATATATTATGTGTTAAGTTCAAACTCCTATGAAATCAGAGTGATTAAACACTAAAGAATTAATCAGAATCAAAGTCTGTCAAATAGTGTTTTCTCTCTTAACACCTTGGTATTCCTTTAAAGTACAAAAAAAAAGAATATTAAACCCATTTAAACCCTACTTTTATTCCATTTCTTCTTATTTGCAGCAAAATAATTTCAGAGAACTAGGTCTAATTATATTTCAGGGTCACCCAGTAGGATTCCTCATGTTTACTGCTCACTAAAAATTATGCTGCAATCATGATTTTAATTCCTTCATTATGCAGATCTAGGCATAGTAGTCCTAGAAACTTTCTTATTAAATCTGCAGGAGTCAAGATAGCTGTCCCTAAAGTCAGTTCAGAGCTGAACAAATATTTTCTTTTTTTGTTTTCACAATGTTTATTATTATGGAAAAGATTGATTCTTGAAGAGAAATTAAAATATTAAAAAAGATATTTTAAAATACATTTAAACAATTAAGAAATATAAATTTAGTGGACATTAATGGAAATGTGCATTTTTAAGTGCTTTTGAATACCCAGTCTGCAAACACAGTATATATATTTCTCTACAGATACCAGGAATTTGCCACCCAACATTTTCTTGTATCAGGCATCCCCTAATATAGTTTCTCTAACCTTTTTCTCTCACTCTGCCTAATCATCAAATCATATGGTTTGGGTTGGAAAGGACCTATAAAGTTCATCTAGTCCAATCCCCTTGCTTCGTGCAGGTACATTTTCAACTAGGTCAGGTTGCTCAGAGCCCCCTCCGACCTGTTCTTAAATGTTTCCAGAGATGGGGCATCCACCACCTCTCTGGGCAACCTTGTGCCACTGTTTCACCAATCTCATTGTAATAAACTTTTTCCTTATATCTCATCTATATCTACCCTCTTTAAAACCATTATCCCTTGTCCTATTTCAACAGGCCCTGCTAAACGGTTTGTCCCCAGCTTTCTGTAGACCCATTTCAGGCACTGGAAGGCTGCTGATAGGTCCCCTCCTGGAGCCTTCTCTGCTCCAAGCTGAACCCCAAGTCTCTCAGCTTGTCTCCACAGAACAGGTGTTCCAGCACTCGGAGTGTCCTCTGGACCTACTCCAACAGGCCCATGTCTTTCCTGTGCTGAGGACCACAGAGCTGGACACAGTACTCCACGTTTCACCTTTTCTCTGAATGAGAGCAGCAAGAACATTAAAGGACATTTCAGGCCGGGATGAACGCTGCAGGTGCCGAGCGATACCTGCGCACACAGGGCCGGCAGGTGTCAGTGCAGCTCACACGATGCCTCCTGAAGACTGGTAGGAGTGGATCCCTGAGTGCCTTTAGGAGGCACAGCCACCATACAAACAACTTCTAGGTGAATCCAAAGAGCAGTAAAGCTGGTATCACCAACTTCTTTCAGGCAAAGTTTTTCCTTGGAAAACAAAATATAAAAAATTAGACACACTTCTCCCCCTCCACGTTACAATGGCACCGTAGCAGTGTGCCCACCTGGCATGTAAGACCTGCCTACCTTCACAGAGTGTGCCAGTGGAAGCACATCTGCCCAGCACAAAGCAGAGGCAGGCTGAGCATGGTGTGCATCACAACTAGCAAGCTGCAGGGGCAGAAAGACAGTGCCATCTCTACTGCACTCAACAGCAAACCTTGCGGGTTGATTCTATGATTCGGCACAGGACAGATATACCCACATCACTGCTGCTGGCCTAAGGGGCAAGGATTGTTCCTTGGCACCGCCCCACATAAAACATACTGATGTAGCTTCAGATTTTTTCTGATGCATTCACCAACCACAAAGGTCACAGAAAGCTTCAAACTATTCAGAATGTCTTAGGCATGGAAGATAAGCATTGTATTTATTATTCATTTTTATTTTATTTATGACCAAAAGGCACTATATACAGAAACATTTTTAATTCCAAACGAATGAAACTGTTTATCACTTTCATGGATTAAAAAAAACATACTAATTAATGACACAGTATTAAAAAATACAGAAATACATTTAGGAAATACAATCAGATTATAAACATTTTTTTCAAATTAAATTTTACCAAAAAAATTTACTACTACACAAAGTACTGCATTTGATCAGCATTACGCTTGCCCCAAGTCAAACAGGAAAACACAGCTAAATAAATGACAATTTCTTTCAACTAGGCTCTGAGTACAGCCTCTTCTACTTACAAGAAAAATTGCTGTTAGAGCTGAGGTTGGGGACAGGACATGTGCACACCAAAGAAAGACAACTGGGCGTAAAATACACAGCCAGACATCCCAGCAACTTAATCTAACAAACGTAACACATCCTTGTAATGCACTTCAGAAAATCTGCATCAACAGTGGCAACATGACATTCTCTATATTTATAGATGCAATATAATCCTGAAAATACTTTCTATTCTCTAGTTTTCACTTGAAGCACTTGAGAATCAAACTGTCAGAAAAGAAACTCCTATCACAAACTAGTCTTGTTACACATTGAATATAAAACACACATTTGCAAATAAATCTAACATTTGAAACTTGCAGAACATAAAAGTAGTACACAAACAGCTGTTTATTTTTTTCTTAATCATTCGTCATTTCTAGGCTCCATTTTGTAACATTAGGTAAGCAACATTCTACAACTACATACAAGTTAAAGCACAATATACACCAGCAAAAATAACAAATCTATCTTAAAATATGCAAGTTGTGTATTAATGTACAAAACAATACTGAATTCAGGGTATCAAGATGATTTTTAAAAAGAAGAGACATCCAAGCACCTGCTGTTCCAACTGACAGATAGCTAGAGAATCAGAGTCAATTAGCCCTTAAGAGTCAGTGCCTCTACATGACAATTAAGTATTACTTGGCACTACAATGAACATAGCCCCACGCAGAAAATATAAAGTCATCACTCAACACATGGAATGCTGCACAATACAACCTTGGTGCTTTGTCCTAAGAGCAAGCAGTATGTCAAACTATTGACAAAGTACATGACAGATAAACATGTAATCTGAAGTAGAAAAAACATTAAATTCTGCAATATAAAGAAAATAGTTAATCGCAAATGGTTACAAAACCCACTCCAACTAATATATTAACATAACACTTCTGATACTTTAGCTAGCATTTACAGAAGAAATTTTATCTTACACATTTTCCGATTTGTTATTAATGGGTACTTTTCACTTGTATACTAAAAATATTTACCTGCTTTATGAATAATTCACCCACAGAGTGAACTTTGTAAAGATGAGCTGGCATTATCCTACCTTTTATTTATCTGGATTTCCCAGACATATCTTTTTTCCATTAAAAAAAAATTAAATTCTGTTTTCCAGATAAAGCTTTCAGGTTTTCACATGAATTAAATACATCTTGATATGGGGGGCAGGGGGATGCACCTTCTTAGATCTTGTTTGCATATACAGATGCATTAGATGTGCTGTCTACCATTCCTTTTCTCACTGAAATTCAACCAAATACACGGCATACAAAGAAAATGCCTCACACTTAGGTCTCTTTGTCCAAAGAAATAAGGAGGTGAGGAAAAACTTAAACAAATCAAAAAAACGTATGACAAATTCTTACAATTTCAGAATGGATACCGAAAAACCCACCAACTTCTTAACACACATACATTATACCATTACTTTTCAGTTCTGAAATTCCCTACTCCAACAAATAAGAAATGGCACTGAATGTTTCTCTTTAAGATACAAACACTATCTTGACTAAACAGTACTGACTAAGTGCATGGAGAAAACTTGCTCTGTTCATTCTTAGAGATGGGATGGGAGGATTGAGGAGAGAGATCAGTGGAACACACACTCAGCAGAGTGAATGATCCCAATTGTGATGCAACTCAGATACCAAGAGAACCTTGAGATGGATCAACAGTATCTTTACCTCAAGTGCTGAAAACAACTTAATTCATGTTTTTCCCATAAATGGGGATCCAGGTTTTTGGTTTAATATTACCAAACATTCTCCTAACAAGAAAAAATATTCTTACATGAAAACTCTGGAATCAGAAACAAAGAGAAGAATATGTTTGGTCTCTTTATTTTCTGAATATCCAAAACAAGGAGGAGACAACACCACTGTAAATCAGATGTTACTGAAGTTTCATATATATACACAAAAACTGCAAGAGCATTCTGACAGGAAGGTTTGCCAAAGACACTGTCTAAATAAATATAACAAGAACTTAGAGGAAAAAAACCAAAACATATCAGGAGTAGAATCTGGTTTATTTGCCTTTTTTTGCACTGCTTTCCTGACTACAGTCTACTCATTATTCAACTAATACTTTTGATAGTATCCTTATACACTGTCTTTCCAGAATGCAAAACATCAGAATCACAAGTCTCAATCAGCGCTTCTGGTAGCAGATTTACTCTGTATTGTGTCAAATACAATTTTACTTTTCTTATCATCATAATGCTGAAAAAATCCCAACAGTATTGTCCACCTTCTGTAGGTTTTCTTTCCGGTGTTGTATGAATTCAGATCCACAGCCACTTTACCAGACCTCCTTATTTGAAACTTTATAACTAGTCCTGCGCTTTAGACAGCTTTTTCTTTCTTTTCATTGCCTCATTTCTGCCTGCAAAATCAGACTTTTTATTGTAATTATAATCGGGTTTGCAAAGGGAAGTACAGTAACCAGCATCTTGGTCCTTAGGCTGCAAATCTGTTTCTTCTGAAACAGATTTCAGTCTGTCAGCTGGAAGGAGGGAGCACTCACTTCTAGAGCGGACTGCATGGCCAGCAGCAACTAAGGCATCGGCTACACTGGTGTCCTCGTACAGAATATCCACCTCTAATTTCATTTCAGAGCCATAGTGGATAACATGAAATATCAGACCCTGTGTACTAAGAAGCTTCTGAAACAGTTGTTTAGCTTCATCACTCCAGTGTTCCCCCTTGGCAGGAACTATAGCATGCAAAGAGCAAGCGTGTGCCAAACACGGCAAGTAAGACATGCTTTCTGGAATGACTTTAAGTTTATGGATCTCAGAATAAGGGATGCTCTTCAGAAAGCCATAATCAATAAATATAAGAACAACAGTCTGACTTGTTACTTCACTAATTTTTGCCCTGTTCCACTGTTCAAACTTGATCAAGCAGGTAACACCAGGGGTCACATGTTCTTTTGACAGAACTGGCAAGGAGTCAGGAAGGTCAGAGAGCAGCAAGGACAAGTTTTGCATGCAGTCAAAGAAGACTTCAAACTGAATGCTGAAGTTTGAAGGATCAGTGACTGCAGTTGCAAACCCAGGATGCACTCTGCTCCTTTGCAGCTGCATCCACATGACTGAATCTATCTTAAATGACATATTAAACTCCTTACAGTTTGTATTACTGGATTTCTCTGGTCCAACAACAGTCTGACAATGACTTAAGGGCTGGTTCAAATACTCCTGAAGCATAAATTTCTCTATTAAAATATCTATCTCCCAGACACCAAAGGATTTCAAAAATCTCAAAAACAAGACCTTTATTTCACCATCCAGGAATGCATTTACTACATGGACAAACTGAACTTCCTTCAGGTTTTCAAACCAAATCCATCTACAACACACAGCTTGTTTAGGAATACTTCTCATCTCATCACTGAGCACCTTTGCATTATTTAAGGACACCATCTCATACATGCCATAATCCATGAAAAAAACTAGCATTAACTTCTCCCTGACAAATTTCTTTATTACTTTTGATCGATACCACTTAAAGTTCCTTCCGGACTGTGTCATGCATTCCAGTCCTTTTTTAATGTCATCCACTCTAAGCAAATCACTTCTTTGTGCTGCTTTGTCAAGCATTACATTTAACTCATGTAATATCTGTGAATTTTTAAGTAATTGTACATAAAATTCTTCATAGTCTGAAATATAAACTACTTCTGCTGCTTCTACTTGGCCAGAATTTACAACTTGACAAGAGATACTTAAGGGTTTTTTGGAAGCAGCCTTAGTTTTCTTTCGATCACCTAAATCTATCCTAGACTTTCTGTCTTCAGGACTACCATTTTGTCTTGGCCTATTTTTCCGACGACATGGTGTGTTTTGCCACCTTCTCCTTTCTATTTCCTGCAGAAAGTCATTAGACATAGACTTTCCATCACAAATTACATCTATTTCCCATTGTTCTCCATGCTGCTGTAAGAACTTGCAAGCAACTTGCTTATTACTTACTTTCCTTGCAAAGTAAGAAGCACTTTTCCTACTCCAGCTTTCATCAGAAACACTTTGCACATTACTAAGGAAACAATGAACACTGAACCTCGGCAGACTTAAGAACTTTTCTGGAATCCTGTAGATTTTTGATGAACTTACAACTGCAGAATTGCCATAGTCAATGAACTCTACCTCAAAGGAGTTTTCCAATTTCAGAGTTTTAATAACTGCTCTATAGTAGAAACAATCAGCACCGTGCTCTGCAGCAATGAGATCCCCTACCACGAGGTCATCTAAGCAATTTTCAAGACCTTGGTTCTTCACACTTTCATTTAAATCATCTCCTAGTTGTATTATTAAGTTTTCATCCTTTGCAAGGTAAACATAGAAACTTGATGGACTATTCATATGAGAAATATAAGCCGCTACTTCAGTATTCACCGGGATATCACGTTGAGGAAGACTCATTAATATAGGTATATCTTTATTACTCCTTTCCTGCTGACCTGCACAATTTAGTCTTGCATTATGAGATTCAGAGAGAGCATTTACAGCTATCCCCTCTGAATTTAAAGCAGGATGAGGGAGTGAGTGAGCAGCAATTTCTCCAACCAGAGGCTCCTCTCTGTTTTCCAAAACAGCACCGACAGTATTTCTAACATCTGGCTCTTTGCTGTCCTGTAAAGTTTGTTGTTTTAAACATCCACTACACAACTTTGGTGTGCTACATGCAGTTTGCTCTTCACCTCCAAAATTTTCTCCAGTATCTGTCTGGTAATACTCATCATGTACTTCACATTTCACTTCACTTTTCAGCTGAAGTATTTGTTCATCATCTCCCATGTGACATACCACTCCTTCATGACTTGTAAATTGTTGCATACAGTTTTTCTGTGCCAAGTCTTTTAATACTTTAATTTTCTGACTTACTTTGACCTGTCCATCATATAACTCCAAGACAATCTTTCCATCTGATTCTCTGGATACAATTACAGCCTTTATCAGTTTACCAAGGAATTTTTCCTCAAACCATCTAGTAACACTAGCTGGAATTTCTGTCCCACTAAGATCTGAGAGACAGCATTTAATAGCTTGCATGGGTGTGAATATTAGGTCAGTGGCAGAGTCTGGAATAGGCATCAACTGGTCTCTTTCTACTATACTCTTATTTCCAAAATCGACATAGTCAGCCCACAGACAGGATGTTGATTCCACAGGAAAAACCAAAGCTCTGTAAAAGAGACCATCTTCAAAACATCTGGCTATACATAATCGTGTCTTGCTGGTATCATACGTTGCATTATTTGACATTTCACTTATGACACTAACCTTCTTCATCAATGCCTCTACAGTTTCAGTGTTTCGATTAAGCTGACAATAGAATTCTGAAGGACTATTTATGTGAGTTATATAAACCTCCTCCTCACTTCCAATTTTTATATCAAAAGTTGAGTAGCAAAAACTGTACAGAGAACCCAATGACGCAAGGTTTCTCAGTCCAGTATGTTCAGACTGGGTGGGACCAAATTGTCTGAGGAATTCCTCTGCACTACAAAGTGCAGTCTGTAAATCAACTACATTGCATAAATTGTTGGGGCTCACAAGAATAACAGCATAAATGATGCAAGTCAGTGGTCCTTCAGAAGAAGAAATGAAGTCTTCAAACTGTGTACGCACTTCCTCAGACCAACTAGGTGAGTCAGACTGTAAGGGTACGTTTTTAAGTCCACATCGAAATGCTTGACTTTCCAGACTTAGGAAATCTGGAAGAATAGCCTGAAGATCTTGAAGTAAAACTCTTTCCTGATAACCATAATCTACAAAAACCACATCAACTTCATCTGTGGATACCTGCTGCACAACAGTTCCTCTGTACCACTTTCCATCTTTGGGATATTTAACAATACAGGCAATCTGTCCAGTTTTGTAAGGATTGGTATGATCTTTATAGTAAGTCTGAATTTGTTCCATCAAGTTATTTAGCTCTGGAAGTTTGCTTTGCAGCTGACATGAAAAATCTGCTGGGGAAACAATGCAAGAACACACCACTTCAAAAGCAGCCCCTGGTTTAAACACAAACTCTTCATAAAATAACTTTTCCTCATGTACCGATTTATGCACTTTAGAGATAGCACCTTTTCCAAAACAGGACAGCACAACAGATTCTCTATGCACTGGAGGCACACTTAATGATTTTTTCTTCTGAAGTATGCCTCCATTTCCAGACACCTTATTTTTACAAATATTACCGGTGCCCTGTGCATTGATTTTTCCTCTTTTACATCTCCGGTAATTCTGGCCACACCGTGGGTTTGCTGACTTTGTAACAGAAAGTGGTGTCTTTTCCCAGTATTCAGCATATCCAGCTTCAACCATACACATGGCAACGTTTCTTTGCTGCAGGCCAGTATCACACTGCACATGAACAATGTACTTGCTGTTTTGCTTTCCAATGACATGAAGCAGCAGAGGTTTGTCCCACAACACACTTTTAAAGAAATCAATTTCCTTTTTAACCCACACATCCTCAACAGGAAATGTGTGAGCAAGGGAACAACATAGAGCTAAAGCTGGTAGACCAGAAAACTCAGGAAGCAATGTTTTCACATCGTAACAGGGTACTGTATCTGTATTTCCAAAATCAAAAAAACAAACAGTAACGTTTACACAAAGCACTTTAGCAACGACACCCCGATAATAATGCCCATCTTTGCTATACCGGGCACAGCACAGCACTCCAGGCTCTGGGTCTTCAAGGACCATTTCAGCAGGCCCACATTGATTGTATGTGTGGGCAATATTTTTCATCAAGGCTTGAAACTCATTCTGGTATCTACATGTTTGAATCCAAAAATCAGATGGACTTATGACATGTACCACAAAAGCTCCATAGAAGGAATTCATTTGCATCTCCTCCCTTTTGCAGCGGCTGAAGAAAGAAATATCTCGTTCAGGTAAGCAGCTTTCTATGTGTTTATCTCCAGTATAATCCTTAAACGAATTTGATCTCTCAGGACATGGTTTGCAGTTTACAGCAATACTTGTGCTTTTTGTTTCCAAAAGCGAGACACATGATGCAGCTGCCTCATTTGGGTTTACTGGATGCTTAGCATTAATTCCAAGATTTTGGTTTTGCAGGGTGATATAATACAAGCATTTAATGTTATTGTATAAATCAACCCGGACACACACACAAGTTTGTCCTATCAAGGCCTGTATAAGTTCTTTCAGCTGAAATTCTATTACTGTTTGATCCTGACTACCAGAACAAGACAGCGCACATGGAAATGAAATCATTGGTAAAGTCATGAACTCAGGTATAAGTTTCTGAACACAACTGGATGGCACAACTTCACTAATGCCAAAATCCATGAACCAGATCTCCACATGGTCAAAAAGAACCTGTTTTACCACTCCTCTATGCCATTGTCCATTTTGTCTCCTGGCAGCACAGAGTAGCCCTAAACTATCACAAGATGTACTATTTTCTCTAATGAGAGCTTCATAGTACAAATTCATATCTCCTGTCAAATCTTTCAGCTCTTTCTGCCATTTCTGTAGCTGACAATAAAATTTATTTGGGCTTACTGCAGCAGTTATTTTAACGTTTTCTTTACTGCCAACAGGTAGACATGGAAAGAGTTCATCTGGAACATGCCAAAAATCTTTTGGTTTCTCAGGATTATTGAAAGCAAGCAACTCCCCAATTGGATACTTCTGTTGGAACAATTGTGGCAGTCTCTTACATAGCATTCCTTCAGGAAATGCTCTTAATGCTTCTACAATAAGACAAAATGAATCTCCATCAATAAATTTACCTAATTGCAGCTCAAGAACATCAGTTATAATCTTTGGCACTTCTAGAATAAACAGTTTGTGTAGCATAACAGCCTTCACATGGCCTGTAACCTGTAAACCTACCAGAGATGAAAAATAGTTGATGGCTTTTGGACCCCATTTTTCTCCAAGAGGAAGTATGCTTGCAAAAACACCCAAAACCACCTTAGGAGGCAGTTGAAACATTTCATCACAAGCAGCAGCAAGATGTGTTTCCTCAACCACCAACACTTGTCCAGTGTCTATAAGGCAAGTCTCACAGGTATTCCCTCTCTTTCCCAGAACTATTCCTCTATGCCATCTTCCTTCTGTGTCTTCCACCAAGTAAGATCCACCAAGGCAAATATTATCTCTTTTTTTGAACACATGCTGTATTCGATTTTCTAGTATGTGATAGTCAAACTCACATCCTGTGTTGCGCTGAGCCTGGAACGCTATAACCAAGCACTCAGGATGGCATTCTATATGAGTTATCATCAATTTCATATCTACTAAGTCCGGTGAAGGAGTCAGAGATTCCATTCTGTCTGCAAAGAAAAAGAGTACGATCAGCCTGATAATTTTCCATATTTTTTCCTTGCAACTAGTTCCTTACACGACATTTGTTTTAAAAATGTTTTAACAGCGTATTATTAAAACTCAGGTCAAAATGCGTACTAAACATTTAAGAATATCATGCATTATGGAACTGAGATATACTTGACACAATTCTCTTTGTAAAGACCTGTTCAGATAACATGAAAAAAGCACCTCTGGATTCACTCTTGTGACTACAGACTAATTTTATCACTTTGAGAATAATTTCTAATCAAAAACCTGCTCCCAGAATAACACAGAGAATTTAAGATTATATCAGAAAACTGAGCCAGGGAAAAAATCCAATTAAGTGTTTCATTGTACTGGACTTGCAGGTACAAGGAGAGTTTACATGCAAAAGTACTTCCAGTCTGTTCTCAATGACCAAAGACTCGTCCCCTACTCACCCTGCTTTTTCTGTCTAAATCAGTTCTTCAAACCACTGACATCTTTTATAGCTCTGTGCTTTACTGTTTACTTACTCTGGTTGTCTATACAGTATCAGTTATAGCAATAACATATTTTAAGTTCTTATAACTGCAAGCGCATCACCTATGTACAACATTTCTGCACTGCCCATCAACACTGTGCCAGCTGTGTTTTGTAATGGCTCAACACTCCAATTCTGACAGCTTAAATATCTTCAAACACTTCAGATGCTTTTGTGATCTCCATCCATAATTTGGTCTTCAAGCTTATCTTCCAGTTCAATTAACATGTCAATGATTCAAGGGATCTGTGATTTCACATTGTTTAAAAGGCTGTGCACACCCATAATTTAATCAACCAACATTATTAAATAAACTGCTGTTCTAATAAAGCAATACGGGCTAAACAACATCAAGTGCAAAGACAGTGGATAAACACACAAGGATAGACTGGACAAAGCTAAGCTTAATTTATGCATTTTTATGCAAAGCTGAGGATGAAACTTTTAGTTTCAACTACAAATTCTCAGTGCAAGATCCTCCTCAGCCTGCAAATAATCTTCAGCGGAACTGCCATTAGAGTTTTCATCAGAAGCCTGTATGAAGTAGCCAGTGATTACAGAAGCTCTCTTCAGATCAAATACTGATCCTTATCATTCTAGTTCCAAAAAAACCACAAAAAACCTTAATAAATAAATTAACACTCCTGCTGTAAAGCTTGCCAGAACACCCTGCTCAGGGGTAAGGATACATAACTTCTAAAAACAAACAACAAAAAACCCAAACACATAAAAACCACAAACAATGACCAAAAAAAAAAACCCCAACAAACAAACAAACAAAACCTTTAACCAAACCAAAACCATCAGCCTCCCCAAAAAACTCCCAGTAAAAGCAGTTCCAAATCCAGACCTGCCAAACACCTGCTCTACCAAAGCCACTTTTGTTTTCCACTTTTCCCTGTAACAGAAAGCTAAATTCTCAGGATTTTTTCAATTAAAGAAAACAGCCTTCACAAAAGGGTTATGTCGCTCTGGAAGAAACACTTGATCACTACAGAGAATCAAACTTTTGAAGGGGCATCACAACTGCTCTGGGCCCTTAATTCATTGAAACAAAGCTCGGCTTACATAAACACTTAACAAATGAAAACAATTTGTGCATCAACATTTGCTTGTTTGTTACCATCTCCCAAATAACAGCATCACACTGATACAGTCACACTTCTAGTTTACAAAATGACCTTTTGTTATTTACTCACCTTCATGCCACTTCAGGCTTATTCATTCAGAACACACCTTTAGAAACCTCAGCCCACTGATTAACATGCTGCATGCCTCTACAACAAAAGATGGTAGAAAAATCATTAGAAAAATATATGTAAATTAAATTCTTCTACCAGTTCTCTACTGACAGCAGCTCTGAAGAGAAAGTCTTCAGGGTGCTGATTGACAAGAAGCTCAACATGAGCTGGCAATGTGTGCTGGCAGCCCAGAAAGCCTAATGTCCTGGGCTGCATCAAAAGCAGCACAGGCAGCAGGTCAAGGGAGGTGATTCTGCCCCTCTGCCCTGGCCTTGTGAGACTCCATCTGGAATGCTGCATCCAGCTTTGGAGTCACTAGCATAAGGACATGGACCTGTTCGAATATGTGCAGAGGAATCCACAAAAATTATGAGAGGGCTGGATTACCTTTCCTAGGGAGACAGGTTGAGAGAGCTGAAACCCTTCAGCCAGAAGGCTCCAGGGTGAGAGAAGAAGTTACAAGAGAGCTGGAGGGGGACAGTTCGCAAGGCCATGGAGTGACAGGACAAGTAGGAATGGCTTTGATTAGAGATTTAGATTAGATATGAGGAATGAATTCTTTACTGTGAGGGTGGTGAATCACTAGAGCAGGTTGCCCAGAGAAGCTGCGGCTGTCCCATCCCTAAAAGTGTTCAAGACCAGGTTGGATGGGGCTTGGAGCAACCTGCTCTAGTGGAAAGTATCCCTGCACACAACTGGGGGTTGGAATGAGATTATCTTGAAGGTCCCTTCCAACTCAAACCATTCTGTGACTCTCTAAAGCCTCTCCTGCCCAAGAATCACACCCTGGAAGAGCTCCTCATACCTAGCTTAACTACAATCTTAATACTACACAAACAAAAATTACAAAACTTAATTTACCTGCCTAAGACCACTTCTTCACTGCAGCTCAAACACCACACCAGCCAGGGGAACACTACAGAGGTATCTCCCACCTGCTTTCTAAGCAGGAGCAGCAACACATTTATTTCTGTTTACAGCCTTCAGCCATCAAAACACTGTTCTTATCACACGCCACTGCCATACAGACAACTCATGGTATAACAAAATACAGGACACAAGTGGCAGGTTACTTTGCCTGCGCCCCCAACCAGTTGCACTGGCCGCGGCTGGTGGCAGCGCTCACCCGAGAGGAGCCA